CTCCAATGTTCAACCTATGTCTCATAATGAAAGTGATATATATATATATATATAGTTGAGTTTTGGTGAAAATAAAAGTTATTTTGAGAATGGTGAGAGTAGTTCTAAACTGTTGGATGAGTTGTTCTTTTGATCTGACAATTAAAAAATCGTAGTAGACCTTTAATTGATTTCCGGCCAAAAAATGGACCTTCAACTACCTTCCATTAACCTTAATATTCACTTTCACTCACCTTGACAAACTTTTATATATTTTTAATCATAGTCACATGTTTGAATTTGTTAAAGTTTCAGTCATGGTGATAAAAATAATTTAATAAGATAGATGAAGGTAGTTCAATTAATTTTTTGGCAACATTTATTCTCACGTGATACCAAGTTTATACATACATTTGGGATCATGAAAGACCGGTTAGTTTTTATGAGATCAATGAGACCACCTTGGATCCCTTGGATGAGTTGATCTCGACTAACTTTCACATCATTGGATTAACCTTCATGTGAAAGAAAAAATCCCAACATCCACATGAAAAACACAGTAAACCATTATAAGAAAAACACACAAAACATGAACAAGAAGCACACACCAAACCTTCACAGTGGTCTTGTGGGTCTAATGAAATGTGGTTCTTCTCATGTAACAACTTGTGTGTATACATATACAAGGAAAGGTTCAAAAGAGAACATTTTCATTTTAGAAAATACGAGAACAACTTTTACCATAGTCAATCACATGTGATAATGTAGTCCATCACATATGATACACATGTGATACTAAATCAGAGACGCATACGACCTTTGATACGACCATGATGATGGGCCAAGTCATTTGCACACCACCAGCTCCTCGCACGTGTATTGTTACATGTGATACGGGTGTCCTTATGCTTTCATAAAATGGAGGTGTTCAAGTTTGAACTTTCACTAAATCAAACAAGAATTGTGAGAAGTGATCTAATCCATAAATTAATTTAAATGAATGGTCATATATATATATATATATATATATATGTTTTAGTAATTGAAATTTCAACATGTCCTTTTATGTCATTTCACATCGACATTTTATATCTTGTTTATCAGCTAGTTTTTACCAAACATGACTAGTTTATCAATTTACAACTATTGTATCAGCCAACAACTAATAAAACAGCTAATTTGCCAAAATAGCCTAAGGGTATTTACGTTAAAGGCCCTAAACTAATATTATTTTACAGTAATGGAACAAAACTTGTGTAAACTTTAACGTGGTTCATGACGAGTCTTTTTATCCAAGAGTCGCCGTGATTCATTGCTCATAATAACCTTTAGATCTCCGTCTTTAACTAATGGTCTTTTCTATACTTCCACTAACATTGTGCATACCTTTTCTTGTTTATAAGGTGGTTGCCCCGTTATTAAGGGGAACAAATGGTCCTCTACGAAATGGATTCACGTCGATGAGTATAAGGTTTAGATTTTCTTCAAAAGGTATTCACGTAAAGCTTTATGACATCCTATTGATATTATACAAGTTAAATTAAAAACATACGATATGAGAAACATATTACACTTGTTCTGCATGATTTTTCATCTTGATGCGATTACTTTTTTAAGGGGTCCTAAACACAATATAATTCATATTGCTTTTTGAAAATAACAATTAATGGGTCATATACATTCACCCCGGGTTCATGAGAGAACACTAATAAAAAAGAAAAGGAAACTATTAAGGTATTCTAATCCAACTACTGTGAATAATAAAGATGGTTACATTTGCCAAAACTAAATCCATTATTACAGGGACAGTTACATTTAAATCTGAGCCATCTATTTTTTTAGATCTTACAGTTGATAGAGGTTCCCTTGGCCTCTTTTCTGGGGTTCATATGAACCTCCTTCATCATATAAAAACATAATGACTATATCTTGAAACTGCGGTGTCATCAAAAATCGCAGAACTACTATATTTGACAAACGAGTCATGTTTTCTTTTTCCCGGTCTGAAATCTTGGTCTAATTCTCTCCATCTCCCCTATCTCTTACCTATAATCGTGAATTTGTCTCGTTATTCAATGTTTTTAACTCATTTGGTTACTTTTGACACAATGTATTTTTACAGGTTCAAATGTGTTATCATTTAGTTATAACAGTTAATGTTCGAGCATGACACGAGACCGTTTGGTGGATCATATTCTCATCCTTCACAATACTATAATATTTTATGTAATTTCTTTCGTATCAAATCCTTTCATCATTTTTTATTTTCGAGCTACAATTTGTATTTTGATAATATGACAAAACGTAAGTATATAGCAACCATGATACATATCACTAAACATAGATTCCTAACACCAACATCATGAACGAAAGTCAAAATTATTGTACTTGTCGAGATGCACAACACACACATACACATATGTCCAGATGAATGGTTATTGGGGTTGTTTCTCAATTTTTCATTTTTGAGGAGTTTGCCTCTGAACCCCTCTCTCTCTCTCTATATATATATATATATTATATGTATATATATATATANACAATGAGATGTTTTGTAACCGCCCATTAATAACAATGAGATGTTTTGTAACTGCCCATTAATAACAATGAGATGTTTTGTAACCGCCCATTAATGACAATGAGATGTTTCGTCATCGAATCAAAACCAACAGCAAGATTCCCGACACCAGATTATTTGCTTAGTAAACCTTAGAGGTCCTTTGCCTCTCTTCATCAACCTCCTCTCGTCGTCGGCTCACTGTCATCCCACAAACATAAGTGGAAATAAATCATTTATTACCATTATTGATGACCATTCACGCTATATGTACTTGTACCTAATTAAAGAGAAATCTGAAGCACTTGAAATGTTTAAAACATTTAAGGCCGAAGTTGAGAATCAACTTGACCGCAAAATTAAGGTAGTAAGATCGGATAGAGGGGGTGAGTTTTATGGTAGACATACAGATATGGGTCAAGTTCCAGGGTCTTTCTTTGGCTTTTGTAAAGATCACGGGATAGTGAACCAATATACCATGCCAGGCACACCTCAGCAAAACGGAGTGGCTGAGAGGAGAAATAGAACAGTTATAGACATGGTACGAAGTATGTTGGCAAACACTAACCTACCTCAATTTTTATGGACTGAGGCATTAAAAACGGCGGTTCACATCCTAAATAGAGTTCCTTCTAAAGTTGTTCCTAAAACTCCTTTTGAAATATGGGCAGGGAGGAAACCAAGCTTAAGGTATCTAAGGGTGTGGTGTTGTCCGACAGAAGCTAAAGTGTACAATCCTATATTAAGAAAACTTGATATGAAGACCATAAGTTGCTTCTTCATTGGTTATCCCAAACGATCAAAGGGATACAGATTCTATTGTCCTTCACATACTACTCGGATAGTAGAAACACGACATGCCATATTTCTTGAGAATTGTGAAAATGATGATAACATTGAAAATTGTGGTATAGATCTTCAAGAGGTTTGTGAAGAAACACATGTGCCTGTTTCGATAAATACACCACTTGAAGACTCCAATGTTCAACCTATGTCTCATAATGAAAGTGAAACAAACTTAGAGACAAATGTTGAAATTCCACACATTGAGAATACTCAAGAAATTAATATTGAGCCTCAAGAAACTCACCAGCCTTTAAGGAGATCACAAAGAACTAGGCGACCCCACCGGTTGACGATTATGTTACCTACTTAAATGAGGTCGATCTTGACTTAGGAAAATGTAACGATCTTGTATCCTATAATGACGCAAATAGCAAACAATCTTCTCATTGGAGTGAAGCTATGATTGATGAACTTGATTCTATGAGTAAGAACGATGTATGGGAACTTGCTGAATTACCAAAGGGTGCGAAACCCGTAGGATGCAAGTGGGTCTTCAAAACTAAACTTGACCCAAAAGGAAACATCAAATGTTATAAAGCCCGGTTGGTTGCTAAAGAAATATACTCAAAAGGAAGGTATAGATTATCAGGAAACATTTTCTCCTGTTTCAAGAAAAGATTCCTTACGGATCGTGATGGCCCTCGTAGCTCATTTTGACTAAAAGTTACATCAAATGGACGTTAATACCGCTTTTCTTAATGGAGATTTACATGAAGATGTTTATATGGCCCAACCTGAAGGGTTTAAGATTAAGGGTTTGTAAACTGAAAAAGTCAATTTATGGGCTTAAACAGGCATCCCGTCAATGGTACTTAAAGTTTGATGAAGTCATGAAGAAAAATGGTTTCATTAACAATCAAGTAGATCAATGTATATACCTCAAGATGAGTGGGAGGAACTTTGATATACTTGTCCTTTATGTCGATGATATTCTATTGGCAAGTAATAATATTGATTTGTTGCATGAATCAAAACGTTTTCTTTCACGTGTTTGACATGAAAGATCTCGGAGAAGCCTCTTATGTCATAGGAATAGAGATCCCCCGAGACCGTACCATGGAGACATTGGGATTGTCCCAAAAGGGGTACATTGAGCGTGTACTTGATCGATACAATATGCAACATTGCTCTCCCTCAGTTGCTCCTATAGTTAAGGGAGATGTTTTCAGCTCTTTTTTCATGTCCAAAAACAGACGTAGAAAAGGAACAAATGAGGTTAATACCTTATGCTTCTGTAGTCGGAAGCTTGATGTATGCTCAAGTTTGTAGACGTCCCGACATCGCTTTTATAGTTGGTATGCTAGGCAGGTATCAATCTAATCCAGGTCTAGATCATTGGAAAGCCGCTAAGAAGGTGTTGCGATATCTTCAAGGGACTAAAGATTACAAACTAACTTTTAAAAGAACGAATGATCTAGAAGTCGTTGGATTTTCCAATTCTGACTTTGCAAAATGCAAAGATGATAAAAAGTCGACTTCGGGATATATTTTCATGCTGTCAGGTGGGCCTATTTCGTGGAGGAGTCACAAGCAGCAATTGACGACAACTTCAACTATGATGGCAGAGTATGTTGTTGTTTATAATGCGACATGCCATGTAATGTTATTAAGAAACCTTATAGGGGGACTCAAAATTGTAAACTCCATATCGAGGCCATTGAAGATATATTGTGACAATTCTTCAGCCGTAAACTTTTCGAATAGTAATAGTTCAAGTGGGGCTGGATTATATCTCGATACAAAGTACTTATTTGTACGAGAACGAGTAGAGGAAAACAACCTTTGTATCGAATATATAAGCACTCATGACATGCTAGCGGATCCGATGACGAAAGGTCTTCCACCCAAAGTATTTCAAGAACATGTCTTCAAAATGAGTTTAGGACGAGATCTTATATGAATTTATTTCTAGCATATTGCTTTAGTAAGTTTTATGTAAATAAGACAAGTACTTGATTATAATTTCCTCATATATTATTGAAGTTTGTCTATAATTATGAATTGTGCGCATTTAGGTTAATTCATAGACAACTATGTTATTTACCACATTATGTCTTTGTGATTTTGACTTGATATATTCTTGATGCTCTGTATATATGTCTTAGTATGATTGATGGGGTTCTCATATCGATGTTGACATGTATGAATGTATCTTTCTGCTATGGTATAAGTACAAAGTATCATGAGTATTGATTCAACCAAACTTATGATGAATCTAATCATAAATGATCACTAGTCCAAGTGGGAGAATGTTAGAATATTTCTTATTTTATGTGGCTTTAGGACCATTTATGTTATAAATTGTGGGAAATAAAATATTTATGATTTATACCCTTAATTATACCATCATGACATAATTAGTTATTTGATGGAAGTAACTCTCATATAAATAAGATGGTCAAAATTTGTTTCTCTTTAATGCTTTCATACGTGCAAGGGACATTCAAGGAGAGATCCAAAAATTCTCTCTCCCCAAAACACCATAATCTTGTCCTCTTAATCTATCCATCAAGAAGAAAGCATAATAACGAGAACAAGAATTCGAAGTCGTATCGCAACAATGATTTCTTCTTCGTCATTGAACAATCCTATCAAGATTGACTTTCCAAGTAAGTTTTAAGTTTTACGTTTTCAATTGAGATCATGCGATTAAATCCTGTTATGCGTTTAATTTGATTAACAGTTTCGTCATCGAATCAAAACCAACATCAAGATTCCCGACACCAGATTCTTTGCTTAGTAAACCTTAGAGGCCCCTTGCCTCTCTTCATCAACCTCCTCTCGTCGTCGGCTCACCGTCATCTCTCATCTCATGATCGTTCTTGCCGGTGGTGGCAATGCTTACAACATCATCAAGGTAACAACAACCATAACTGAACTGAATAAAAATTTGTTATACCAAAATTTCTTGTTCCCTCTCTGTCTAACAATTACATGATTACAAATTAGATTTTATTTAATTATAATTATAATTTTATTTAATTTATGTTTGGATTTTCTTCATACAAGAATGTGACAAGTCAAAATGGTTGAATCACCTATTCCTTCAAACAATTTTTATCAAACACCATCTATTTCTATTTCTATTTCTCTTCCTATTTTTATTATTTATAAATTTTTATGATCTAATAATTATTTATTCAATTTTCCTATATTAAAGAGGTACTAAAATGATGAGCATAATAACTATAAATGGCAATATCTGCTCTCCAACTTCAATTATTTTTTGCCTTGCAAGTGTTGTATTGGTTGGTCCCATCCCTACCATACTACTAAAATATCTTTCTATTTTATAAATTATATATTTTTATTAATATATTACTAACCGACAAATAAAAATGTTTGAAATATATTTAGAGAGCGATCGAAAATAAAAATTCAGCGTACTTTTTTTTATTTTATCTGCTCGTAATCACCAAAATGACGAAATTGCCCTTTATGATAAGGAAGAACAATTGGACTGAGGAGAGGCTGAGTCTCTAAGTATGGTTGTTGCATATCATATTACAGTTGCAAGCTAAACTAACTCATTCAAGTTGAAGAGGTTAAAAGTAAGGAAAGATTCAAGAACAACTGAAATTATTTCAACGTTACTGAAGTTACAAGTTAATAAATCACGACTGAAAGAGTAATTACAAAAGAACCAAACAAGGCCATTAAAATTAAACGAAAAAACGATAGTTAACTAACACCATTCCTTGATACCAAGATACAGGCTCAATTGGGTAATGACGCTTATCTTTCGAGATGTTGTCCATTGCCAGATACTAAGGACTCCTGCTGGCATTGCTTCAATAAGAAACCTTGCCTTGGATAGGGTGAAGGGCTAGCCAAGTATGAGAAAAGGAAGGTTAGTACTAGCAACATTGTTGATATAGAGGTTAGATCCTGGAATAGAATGGTTGATGGTGTTAGCTAGATATAAGCATACAGAAAATCCAGCCTTGAAGCTTGTTCATTCCCGA